TTCGAATGTGTTGCGTATGATTTGGATTCCGATTTTATTCAATTAGTTTTATTTACATTTTAATACATATCAGTGCAACTTACGACAACTTATCTGTAATCCTGTTCTCAATTTATCAATGATCAGTGAAATATAATAGATGAGGGTATAAGTTAATTCCTTAAAAGGATCTTAGAAATAAGTACTAAAGTGACAAAATTAAATGTCTTACCACAAGAAAGGTTAACTTGTATTAAATGTGTATTTAGATAGTATAGTCTCCGTATAAATTTTGACGTAATTTTATTAACTTTTAATGTGGTTAGAAGGTGCATCTAACACTGAATAATTAATGAATGTCGTATTACTGATCAAATCAATCAACGTTTGTCTTCTTTATTCTAGTCCTCGACGTGTTATAAAGATCCAATTAGGAATTATAAATGTTTTTGATTATAAAACATAAATACTTGAATAAAAGTGATATCCATATTTAACATAACATAACATCACGTCTTTTTCCCTGAAGGAGTAAGTAGAGGTGCACAATACCGCACTTAATGCCACTGTACAATGTAATATCCACATTTTTACTATTTATGTTATGAGTCCCATGTAATAGGGGGTGAGCTTATTGCCATATACCGGGCACACTTCCAGACTTTTGAAAAAACCCAGTAATACTTTGCCCAACCCGGAAATGGAACCCGAGACTCTTTGCCAGGCAGTCGCACTTGCGACTACTCGGCCAACGAGGCAGTATAATGATATCCATGTTCTTTGTTTTTATTTGCTTACTTAGGATTGGTAACCTCATATCAATAAGCTGCCAATTAAATATTTGAAACAATTACAGCTGGTTTCAAAGCTAGGGGATTGGGCAGCGCCACTGAAGCGCGGGCTTCAACAATAAAGGTAGTACCCAATAGAGGAGATAATTGCGTGGCCACAACTAGAACTATTAAATTAGGAATCTTGCCTTTAATAAAATTGAAATTCAATACAATATTTGCGCACAAAAATCAGATTAGGCGCAGTCTTCAGTTACTTAAGGTTTACATTAAAATAAAAGCGGATGTCATAGATCATAATTTCTAGCGATAAAGTCCTCTACTGGGTACTACCTCTATGGCTGCGCTTGACCCTAGAGCTCCTATACATCTTCAACCGCGAGGCACTTCAGCAGCGCTACCCAATCTCTTAGCTCTGAAACTCGCCTAAATGAAAGAAGTTTTGAACTTAAATACTTAATAAAAACATTCCAGTAATAATAGTTAAACGTTGACGTCCAATAGCTATACACGAACGCCCAATAGCTATATACGGACGCCCAATAGCTATATACGGACGCCCAATAGCTATATACGGACGCCCAATAGCTATATACGGACGCCCAATAGCTATATACGGACGCCCAATAGCTATATACGGACGCCCAATAGCTATATACGGACGCCCAATAGCTATATACGGACGCCCAATAGCTATATACGGACGCCCAATAGCTATATACGGACGCCCAATAGCTATATACGGACGCCCAATAGCTATATACGGACGCCCAATAGCTATATACGGACGCCCAATAGCTATATACGGACGCCCAATAGCTATATACGGACGCCCAATAGCTATATACGGACGCCCAATAGCTATATACGGACGCCCAATAGCTATATACGGACGCCCAATAGCTATATACGGACGCCCAATAGCTATATACGGACGCCCAATAGCTATATACGGACGCCCAATAGCTATACCTATATATGGACGTTCTACAGCAATATACTGACGATCAATAGCTAGGTGATTTTCATGATTGGGCTCGCTGTCATTGCAGCGGTAAGTCCCCTCTTTGAGGAGTGGCTTGAGAGACGCTACGGCGTCCTCACCTACCGCCTGACGCAGGTGCTTACCGGACACGGAAGTTTCGGGAGGTTTCGGATTGGGCGGGAGGAAACGCCCGGGTGTCATCACTGCGAGGTTCGCCCGGAGGACACGGTGGAGCATACGGTGGTGGTGTGTCCTGCGTGGACTGAGCACCGCCGTGTCCTCAGGAATGTGATCGGCGACGGCGACCTCTCGCATCCGGCTCTGGTTCAGACCATGGTACGGAGCGAGGGGGACTGGGATGCCGTCTCCTTCTTCTGCAAAGCAGTCATGCTAGCTAAGGAGGAGGCGGAGCGCGTGAGGGAACGAACTTCTTCACGACCCAGCCGCCGCGAGAGACACTTCGGGCGTCGGGGATTGCGAGACGATCTCCGGCCACAGACCAGAACCAAGCCCGAGCGTACGGCGCGTCGCGTTCCGCGCGCGCCTAAAGGAGCCATCAGACCACCACAGATGGAGCCTAACAGGGCTGATGCCGATACGGAGCCGCAGAAGACTTAACGGGGCTCCTGCTTGAAGTGCAGGAGTAGGAACGGGGTGGTTTTTAGTTAGTAAGAGTCCGACACTCCCTCCCGCCTCACCCGGGCGGGAAAAGTCATTGGATGATTTCCCCCCTCAAAAAAAGGTGATTTTCATGATCCGGCTCTGGTTCAGACCATGGTACGGAGCGAGGGGGACTGGGATGCCGTCTCCTTCTTCTGCGAACCAGTCATGCTAGCTAAGGAGGAGGCGGAGCGCGTGAGGGAACGAACCTCTTCACGACCCAGCCGCCGCGAGAGACACTGCGGGCGTCGGGGATCGCGAGACGATCTCCGGCCACCGTAAGCAGGGGCCTGCGGTCGGCGAGCACGGGTGACTCACCGCCCGACTAGAACCAGGCCCGAGCGTATGGCGCGACGCGTTCCGCGCGCGCCTAAAGGAGCCATCAGACCACCACAGATGGAGCCGAACAGGGCTGATGCCGATACGGAGCCGCGGAAGACTTAACGAGGCTCCGGCTTGAAGTTGAAGAGTATGAAACTCCTTCTCGCCTCACACGGGCGGAAAAGTCATTGGATTATTTTTCTCCCTCAAAAAAAAGGTATCATGAAAATCACCTTTTTTTTTGAGGGGGGAAAATCATCCAATGACTTTTCCCGCCCGGGTTAGGCGGGAGGGAGTGTCGGACTCTTACTGACTAAAAACCACCCTGTTTCTACTCCTACACTTCGAGCCGGAGCCTCGGTAAACCGTTAAGTCCTCCGCGGCTCCGTATCGGCATCAGCTCTATTGGGGCCCCATCTGTGGTAGTCTGACGGCTCCTTGAGGCGCATGTGGAACGCGACGCGCCATACGCTCGGGTCTGGTTCTGATCGGGCGGCGAGTCACCCGTGCTCGCCGACCGCAGGCCCCTGCTTACGGTGGCCGGAGATCGTTTCGCGATCCCCGACGCCCGCAGTGTCTCTCGCGACGGCTGGAGCGTAAAGAGGCTCGTTCATTCACGCACTCCGCCTCCTCCTTAGGTAGCATGACTGCGTCGCAGAAGGAGGAAACGGCATGCCAGTCCCCCTCGGTCCGTACCATGGTCTGAACCAGAGTCGGACGCGAGAGGTCACCGTCGCCAATCACATCCCTGAGGACACAGCGGTGTTCAGCCCACGCAGAGCACACCACCACCGTATGCTCCACCATGTCTTCCGGGCGGCCTCGCAGTGATGACGCCCGGGCGTTTCCTCCCGCCCAATCTGTAACAGGAATCTACCGAAACTTCCATGTCCGATAAGCACCTGCGTCAGGCGGTGGGTAAAGACGCCGTAGCGGCTATGTCTCTCAAGCCACTCCTCAAATCGTACATGATACCTGCTGAGGAAGTACGTGGATGTTCAATAGCTATATACGGACGCCCAATAGCTATATATGGACGTTCAATAGCTTTATACGGACGCCCAATAGCTGTATGTGGACGTTCAATAGCTACATACGGACGCCCAATAGTTATATACGGACGTTCGATTGCCATATACTGACGTTCAATAGCTAGGTGATCTTACATGATACCTGCTGAGGAAGAAACTTTCTTCGCGCGCATGTCCATCAACAGTACAGTACAGTTGACTAATAAAGTAGAAATGTATAAGTACTAAGAATACTGATAGTAAATAGCGTATCAAATTTGGTTTCACATGCGGACGTTCAATTGCTATATACGGACGCCCAATAGCTATATACCGATGTTCAATAGCTATTTCATCTTGCTCATTCCAACAACATTGATAGAATAATATAAAGTAGGCACCTACTAGTAGATAACATTATTATATCAAATCCGGGCATTGATATATGTATCGATAATTTTTGTGAATATTGGAATAATGTTGAAATTTTGTACTACCAGACGAGTGATAGTAAAAGAAAGAGACAAGTGAACACAAAGCTGGCAACGTTGCACTCGCAAATACCATCCACGGTGTGAGGACGTTAATTAGCCGATGCCATGGTTAAATCACGATCAATATATCTAGGAGCCCAATTTGTTACCACCATTGTTTGGGGTTCAAAAATGTTGCAGCATGACTGCAAGAAGAATATCGTGAAAAATAAAATTATCGGAAAATGACGTATCCTACAAAGTTAGAAATCGAATAACTAAGCAATATTCATCAAGACATATTAAAAAAATTAAGGGGAACTGGGGGACGTCGTAATGTTGCGCGACGTGCGTGACGCCAAAAAGATTCTAGGATGTAAATATATATATATATATAATATTATATATATATAATATTATATATATATATTATATTATATATATATATATATATATATACACTAGTCGCTAGTTCTGTTCTTCCTGTGGCGTCTTAAAGCCGACTAAGGGATCGCATACTTAACAGAGATCGGGAAGCAGCGTTCTCTGGATATACCCGATCTCTTTTCATTGCCATCTTCAACATGCCTCTGCCAAGCGTAAACTTTATGGCACAACCGTTTTTATAGAGATGCCCTATAGTCTAGTTCTTGACTTTTCGCATTGGCTATTGATATTGATGAACTATATTGTTGTGTTAGCAGAGTACATCTAGTTCTAAATAAATAGGTCAAGTAACTGGCAATAATTGCGCTCAAAACTGACTTTTTTATTCTTTCAGGTTCGACCAGGGCAAATCAACGAAAGGCGCGAGCAAGCTACGACGCGACCTCATCAACGCAGAGATTGCCAACCTTCGGGACTTATTACCCCTCCCCCCTTCCACCAGACAGAGGTTGTCACAACTACAACTCATGGCTCTCGTCTGTGTCTACGTGAGGAAATCCAACTACTTCCAACAAGGTATGTTTAGTACAGTAATTATAGAATCTTCCTACTGAAAAATACTGAAGAAATGATTTTTTTTAGCCATTATACCGCGCCGGCTACATGAGTTGTAAATGTCAAAAGGCCGTCAAAGTCATAATTTCGGGAATATATCAAGTAAAGTTACGTACAAAAAATTATTATTTACAAATTGTTTTTATTACTCTTTAACTTTTAAACCAGATTTAGGTATTAACATAAGTAGGTATCAAATCAAATAAACATCTACTTTATTCCATAATTATTATCTTTCGCCTCTTCTTTATATTAACACCTTAATAAAACTACGATTAGAAATAAAATAATACTCGAGTATACACAACGAGACTAAAACAGGTGTTAGTCGAAACTTGACAAGCACTCCGCATCGCTAACGAAGCGTTATTAAATTAATACGTAATATGAACGGGCCACTCCCCTGTGTGCGCATGGGCATCCTTTACTCATTATGTTGTATACCTATTTATAAAATCTATGTGGGCATGTGTTGTGTTAGAAATGTGTTTCGTGAAAAAACATGGAAATATGGAAATTCGCCAAAGAACAAGAGTTACCGACATAGCTCGCAAAATCTGCACACTAAAGTGGCAATGGGCAGGCCACGTCGCTCGAAGGACTGACGGCAGATGGGCCAGGAAAGTCCTTGAGTGGAGACCACGGACCGGAAGACGAAGCGTGGGCAGGCCTCCCGCTAGGTGGACCGACGACATCGCCAGAGTTGCGGGGAGCGAGTGGATGCGGGTGGCGAGTTGTCGTTCGACATGGAGGGCTAAGGGGGAGGCCTTTGTCCAGCAGTGGACGTCTTCCGGCTGTTGATGATGATGATGATGATGATGATGAAAAAACATGTGGTGTGTAGGAGAAAAAATGTGAAAATGTTAAGTTTAAACTGTCAAACACCGAGCGGTCACCGGTGACCGCAACCTATTGTTCTATAATTGTGTCTACAAAACCGGTACTCGACGAGTTAAGCAACATAATGTCTGTGCTGAAAGTAAGATGGCTACCGAAAAAGCGAAAACAACTTCAATGCTTCTTAAGTTTTCAAAGTTATTCAAGTTTAATTTCACACTTTAAGTACCGTTTAAATATCACGAATTATCTACCATAATCTAAGCACATAAACATTTCTAAATATAAACATCGATCACAAAATAATATAAAAATAAAAAATAATTCCCAAATACGAAGGTTACCAAAGTGTTAAGTTACGAAATTCGCCTTGAATATCTTTATACACACTTATACCATGATAGGTAACTATCATACGCTAACCGTTTAAAATCTCTCCTTCAAGCTTCATTTACCGCGTTAACACAAGGCCGAATTTCACACACGAAACACACACGCAACTACCGAAATATAAAAACAAAAAAATCGCAAAAAAAAAAGTACTAAAAGTCTACAATTACATAAGAAAACGAAGTTCTCACGATGAAACAGTTACGCGGCTACTGTCGGCATAAAAAAACAATAGCGTTTCGGTTTTGATAGGAAAATTAGACTAAATTAGCAGGCCGAGATCGGCTACCGACTGATGGTTATTGGCCCTAATGGTGCCTGCAGGGAATCGAACCCGAGTCGGCCTGTCACGCCCGTACTGCACGCTAAGGTACGCGGTTCACATGGTTACTGGAGCTCTGGAATTTCGAAGCTCTCTTTATGAATGTATTTGTTTGATATGACTCATATTTTTGTGTTATAGATTCTTAATAAATTTCTTAGAATTCAATATAAAATTTTAATTGAATTCGCTTAACATATCAGGTGATACACACAACTTATTGCTGTAATAAGTATCCCAGAAAAAGAAGTACGCGAACATTAGGGGTAGCTGCCTAATTTTTATTTTAATGTCCGTCTGATAGATTATTTTAAATCATTAGACACGTATTTTTTATTTTCTTACAGAAACGAATACTTTCGACAATACACTGATTTGAAATGTCGTGTGACGTCACTTCTATGTACATTTTATACATAAAAATTACGATTCGTTTTATCTAAGTATCGTTTTATTATACGACAGAATAAAAAAATACGTGTCTAATATTTTTTTAATTACCTAACTTACGGACTAATTACATTTTTAATTTTCATACCCTCTCATCATCCCAATTAAATGACCCTGCTTTGTAAAGTAGTAAATAAGGATTGATTGACAAAACACTTCATTACAAATTAACTTCAGCACACCTAAATAGCAACAACTAGTGAATATTTCATAAAGCGTTTAGAATAATCAGCAACTGAATACCAGTTGCGTAGCTCCCAAATGACCCCTAATAAATAAGCTTTAACCTTTGGTACAATGAATTCCTATCATACATACGTACTTCACTGTCATGTTAGCCGACGTTGCTCACATTTCGCCGAGATTCCCCCGGGACGGCCGAGTTACCGGACTCCGGGCTTCGGACTCCGATGGATTTAAGTACAACCCTATTCTGATAATCGTTTTTAAGTTTTTTCTATTGTTGATACGACTAAACATTGTGATGTTTGTAACCGACTGTAGAGTGGTGGTTTAGAGTCATCCAGTATGCTCTTTAAGTTAGAATTTAATTTTGTTTGTATTTATCTTTGGTCGCATACTTGCAATGATATTGATTAACTTTGTCTTCACAGATAGTATTATTTGTCCGATGCACTATTTTTCAACAACATTTATTTACTTGTTTTCGCATTTTGGTTTTAATTATTATGTTTTCGGCTTACACACCTAACTGTTTGACGAAGAACTCGACTAGTTTCAAGCCATGCTAGAGACTCATATTCATGAGCAGCATTCCGTGACCCGCGATGCGGCCACTATTCTATTCATACACTATTCATATTTATCCAATATTATTACTTATTCGTGTTATTATAGAAATGCAATTAAAAAAGCCATTTAAGGTCAAATAGATTTAATGAAACTTTATCTCAACAAATTAGAGTTCCCTTTATACTTTAAAAGTTTTAGTGACGTCTAAAATTTTTTAAATCGATAAAAACTCGATATAGATAAAACGGAATAGCTTAATTTGTCAAACAGAAACATTTAAACACCGAAAGATTTACGATAACGATATCGATACGAGTCGAACGTAAGTGAGATTGATATTAATTAATCAATTTCTGGGGCATTTAATTTGATTTATTACTAATGAACGTATTTAGTTTTAATGATATTTGAACAGGTGCATTTATTTCATAAAAAATCTATTCAAGTAGGTACCTTTCAAAGTTCGTAATTTATTTTTTGTTCGTTAACAACTTGACTTGAATTACGCAATGTCGATAAGAAATAATCGATAAAGAATAGGGGTCCTGGCCACTCGATAAACGTTCGATTGTCCACGGGTCGTGGGAAACGCATTTTGCATATGATTTTGCTGAGCTCGCTTCTCGATGATGCTTGACTTCTCCATAGTTTAGACTTTGTTGTTTTATTAGCAATCGATGGCTGGCTAGTTTTATGCCAATGATGGGTCGTAAAAATAAAATTCTTTAAAAATCTATCTATGCAAAAAATAACAATATCCTTAAGCGTATATTTTTAGATACGAACATTTTTTCTAAGATTTTTTAGACTGACAGTTCGCTTTTTTCCCAGAAAATAATAATAGAGATATAAATATTGAGTAATTAAATTTTATTTTATAGTTATAGCTTTTTAATTAAACTAGGCAAATACATATTCATATCACACAACATTTTATATAAAGTAATACTTCCAAACCTTCTCCGTATGAGAAGAGGCTTTGCTCAGCAGTGGGTACATAGGCTGTTGACGTTGAAAACTTCCAAATAATGTTCTGTTCAAAATATTTAGTATAAAAGTAATACACAAAAACATTTTCCACGCATATATATACCTACTAAACATAAATCATCGACATAATACCCCAAAAACGTGTTACCAACACTATTAACAACACTGCACTATATGATATGACTCAAGTGGCAGTGCGTACAACGAATTCAGACAATTACAATTCCCACTGTATAGGGCTAAATGCTGAAATTACCGGTGTGCGTCCCGGGAATTATCGACCACGCAGTGCTGTGGTATTTTCTCAACAATTTTTGCATACCATCCTGGGAACTATCGATATGTGAGATGGTTTGTGCCTAATTAAGTTGCTGGTGATCGGTTATTTGCGTTTTGTTATGCTGATATGCAATGGAGAGTATTGGGATGTATTGTATGGGATTGTACGGGATTGGGATGTGTTTGCTTCTGGGATTTTCTTATATTTTGTTGGAAGGATTTTTGTAGGTTAAGGAGAGCTAATTAACATACATAACTTCACGCCCGTCTACCATGGGGGTAGGCAGAGACTATGGAACGCCAACTACTACGATTCCTACATACCTCTTTCGCTTCATCAACAGTCATCAATTTTTTCATGCATTCTCGTCGGTTAAGGGTACTTTTAATTTGGCCCTTCTTTAATATATCGCCAATCTGGTCAGTATATATAGCTAAATAACTATATATATATATTAATATTATCGTCTACTAATGTAACCGGCTCTCTAGTTGAAGTATATTCAATTTGTTCCAAAATAGAGAAGATAAATCAGACATAGATATAGGAAAACGTAGACAAACGAATTTATAATACATTTATTCTAACAAAACGGTGTATATCAGATAAAATGCACTACGTAGTATAAAAATTAAAATTATTATAAAGAGGACATGTATTATGTGGCTTGCTTCTTGCTCACACCATTAACTCTTCTCTGCATCACCCAAAGATCAGACTGGGAGAGAATGCCTGCGGCATTAAGTCCACCTTATGTACATTTTGTGCATGAAGCTTTAAATAATAATAATATATTACTTAAAGTTAACTTTCAATAATAGAAATCACACACTCACATTTTATTTCAACAACTTAATCCTTCGTCTATTGTTTCACCAACACATTACAACACGAACATTTCAATTAAAAGAATTCTAGTTTTGAAGTGATTCATCACAA